AGCAGGGGCGAGCGTTCGGACATGCTAGCCTATGTGGAGTGAGTCACCACAGCCATATATACATGGCTATTTTTTGAAATAATGATTATTCTTCTGTCTGTTCCCTTTATAAATAACGCATAAACATAACGAATAGTTTCTAAAAATAGATATCTCTAGATGGCTTACATTTAATAAGGCCTGTTTGACATTACCTCCACAGTAACATATATGGAAACTTTGCTTTTCCGCCATGTATGCAATGCGGAAAAACAAACTGCGATGAAAACTTTTTGTTACTGCATTTTGTGTGAAAACATAATTTTTAAAACATAAATTATTCCTTGTTTCTAAAAGTAAATGCGATTCCTTCAACTTGGCTTCACTTGTATCTGAACAATTTCGAAAAATTTTCCAATTCTGGAAGGGATATCATTTATACCTTTTTTTACTTATGTTGGAATTCCTACATAGTATAATTTACATTAATAAAAACTTTGGTACTGTCATATGTATTAGCATAGGAAATTCCTTCGACATGAGACTACTACCAATTTCGTTAAAATTAATGCCCATTTCTCTTAATAAACCTAAGTAAAATGATAATTTTCTTAACTAAAAGGCTTTCGCATAATTAAATCCACTCAATGAATCAAAATAATATAACCAAATATATGCTATGTACCAACGCAAATTTCGTCATGAAAGTTGCACGATGTTTAGCCCATACTGTATATGCACCGAATAAATTTTTGTTTGTCGTTAGTGTTCTAACAGGACCCCTTTGCAGTCATGAATGCGGTATCCTCTTTGTCTTGCATCGGTGTTACTCTGACAGCTACTTTTTTATTCACTCTTCCTAGTGAGACCCTATTCATTAAAATTCGTAAATTTTTATATTTTATCCGTCGATTACCTTCATATCACACCCCGAGCCCTAATCCGGCGATTTATAGATGCCTGTATTCTCTTTTTGCATTGTCAACTGCTCTCAGATTATTTTTCCAGGCTTTAAGAAAAAAACTTGTTGAATTTAAAACGTAACGTCCGAGGTTTCCCTTCAGCTGCCGGTGTTTCTAAAATAACTTCTTTGTACTCATCAATACGGTTCTGCTGTGGTGACTCACTCCACATAGGCAAGCATGTCCGAAGGCCCACTGCTGCATACGTGTGCATCTGCACTGAAGGCAGCCTCTGCAACAGCCAATCACAGATCCGCAAAGGCTGGTCTCTCCCGGCGGCGAATAGGATGGAGGCACTCCTATGTCGATGCAGTCTTTCCGGCCAATGACCCTCAAGGCAAACAGACAATGCCCGTTCTCGCTGCCGCTTGCATGCCTGTTGCTAAAAATCCACTTGGGACCCGGCCAGTCTTCTGGGTGGTCGTGTGCTCCAAGTCCAACTTCTTTCCATCTATTGTCCGTTCATTTGTGTACACAATAAACTATTCTTCCTATTCTGGCCTTCCCAAGACTTCTCCCATCTCCCAAGGAACCGGGCCTGGAAGATTGTAGCCGTTGGGGTTAACCATCTTAGCCTTAACTCCTATACTGCAACTAAAATACCGTCGGAGTCAGAGAAAGGCTTTGAAACTGTTAGCACACAGTATGTAGATGATGTATGTGCTGGGTAGCCAATTAGCGCAGCCTTACTGGTGCATATTTATGGGTAATTAGAAGGGTCATAAACACGGAATTACGCCAACTATATCTCGAGTAGCCATTTACACTTTTGCCATAAAGAGATACGTGGGGAGGGTGCGTGAAGACGCACCGAAGTATTCCGGAAGACACAGCTAGCGGTAGGTAACGTTGTCTGTCGAATCCCCACTTTAAGCAAGTGAGATTAGACCATCACAAAAGAGAGTGAGGCCTCGGGCGAGCGAGTCAATAACAGAAAATGAGGTTCGGTTGACGAGCTTCCGCTCAGTTAACGCGCCCTCCCCCAGTTTGCGGTCTTCTCGACTTTTGTCTTGACATGGGAAGTGGTGAGAGACCGAGGCGGATTATCCGTGAATCCACTTTCACCATAATCCAACGTAAGTCGCCGCGTTTTCTGAAGATCGTGGTGGACAGAGTCGAAAACGACGGTCAAACCGTCTCCTCCTCTGGAAGCTGTTCCCTTCCTACAAGAATGCTACCGCCCTTCCCTGTTGACTTTTTTTCCAGTCGAATGCACACTAGTGCCAAAACCAGTCCCCTGGCCAAGCTGCAATTGAGTATGTCACCATCCTCCTTATCGGACCTCCACAGGAAAGCAGACGAGAGGCAACGGCTGCTGAGCTTGGTTGACCTGAATACCGCGGCTTCAAGAGACAGTTGTTTCGACTCCACCGGAGATGAAAACCCGTGAAGGGACTTAGTGGTGGACAGCCAGCTATCTGTTCCTCCCCCTTTTGACCCACTTAGCAGCGACTGCTCTGAGAACCACTCGACCACCGCCCCCCTTGCCGGCGTAGTATTGCCTCTGCACACGAACCTCCCTTTCGAGCCAAATTTTAACGTCTCTGTATACGTCCGCCCCCTTTCGCGCTGGTGGTTCAGACCAATGGGAGGCCATATAAAGGTAGCGGTCGCTCCCTCTCTCACAAACACCCACTCCCTCTCCCAAGACTGGTTCCGCCCCATGTGGCTGTTGAATCCGTGTTGTTCTCTTGTCTCGAGTTAGGCGATTTGGCCGACTCTCTTCCTGCATGACTGTGTGTATCCATTAATGAGGTTTGTACGCGTTACTGCGGGATGCAAAGGCAGAGAAGTCGAGGAAGAGGAAACAGTCGTGCCTGTTTCCGCCATTGAATCTTGCTGCCAGAGCGCAGGTCCTCGGCCGCTTTGCAACCAATCAGTGAACTGATGCAGCCTGATTGGCTACGTTTAACAAGACGAGCGTTTCACATGACGAGCGCTTCGGTGCCGGAATTGCTTAAATGCATTAACCGATGTTCCACTGTACTGACCCCTCCCTCCTCCCCGTTGGTGTATGTGCTTCGCAAAGACTGAGAAGTTGTACATATATGTATGTATATATTTGTCTGTGTGTTCTGATTATCACAATTCTGGCGCCTCAAGGCAAGTTTTCACACGATTGAAAGAAAACAAATGGCAAGAGGTGTGAAACCTTTGCGTCCACACATACTTCTGTGTTTTACGCGCATTGTTGTGCATCTCTCTGGATGTACGTGTTATCTGAAATTGGAAGAAGTTACCGACAG